TATTTAAATTGTTATTCCATAATATATTCACAACAAAACATATATACATTAATAGATACACTATCAGCAGATGTGTACACAAGCACAAACACCTACACCTATTATTTATATCTTTATAGGTGCTTTTTTTCTAAGTTACTTATTTTCTCTCTTAGATGCACTTAAAGCACTTGAGACATTTTTGTTGTTGTTTTTTTGCCATAGAGTTCATGTGCTTGCCGGAGTGAGACAGAGCTAGTAAGAGGGAGAGTAGGAAATCAACACCCAAGAGGGTCGGACACACCATAATCTGTTCTCTTCTGAGGATTTTGGGCATGTACATGTAATGCACCCCCTGTGAGTCTCAAGCTGCCAGGTCTGGAACTCAAACCACTGTAAGCCACATGGGAGTCCATTGCCTTAACCACCACGCCACCTGCCAACCCTGCATAGGTGTATTTTTGAAACATTAAAATGTGAAATGATTCTTCATTCTTAGCTTTAAGTCCTTCCTAAAATGTCATATTAAACAGTTTGCTGAGTATTAACATGCTAGTTGCCTTTCAATTTTTTTTAACCCTAACTCAAAAATGGATGAAGTAGATATTACTTTCTGTTCCTTAACAAATTTATCAGGTGTATAGTTATAACTTGATGACATTCTACAAAAAAAGAAAAAAGATTTCCATTATATATCTTGAAACTATTCTGAGTTAAGTTTGTAGGATCAATGAATTATGAGATTTAAAAACTAAGTCTTGGGGGACCAGCAGTTAGCATAATGGCTATGTCGCTGGACTCCCACGTAGTCGACCACAGTTCAAGTCCCGGACCCGGTGGCTTAAACTCATGCCGGGCGCGTGTGTGTGCGTGCTCAAGATCCTGAGAGGAGAATGAAAGAGAAGGGATTGCAGTGTGGCCATCCCCCCTGTGGGATGATTTCTCACTTTCTATCTCTCTGTCTGTCTCTGTCTGTCTAGCAAGCGCACGCGCTCTATAGCAAAAACCTCTCCAAAAGAAGAAAAAAAAAAAACTAAGTCTTGGAGTCAGCAGGTAGTGTGGTGGACTCGCACATGGCCAATCAGTTTAAGTCCCAGATCCAGTGGCTTGAAAATCACGCCAGTCACGTGTGTGCATGCCCAGAATACCAAGAGGAAAATGGAAAAGAGGGATTGTGGAATGACTATTCCCCCAGGGGATGATTTCTTACTTGCCTCTCTCTGTCTCTGTCTCTGTCTCTCTCCAGTGAGCACACATGACCTAGTAAAAACCTAGAAAACAAACAATGCCTTATGGTTAAGTACCCTAGAAGTTGGAGCATGTGAACAAGAGGTAGGTTATATATGTAGAAAATGCTGCAAGAAGGCATTTAGGAAGGTACCCATACTGCCCACCAGACACCACCAGTTCTAATCCACAATACCATCAGTGCTGAGTGATCAGCAAAGATAGTATGATCCTAAGTGTGCAGAATATTCAGAAAGATTCACTGCCCAGAAAACTTAATATTCCAGGACCAGCAAGTGGTGTAACGGTTACGTCGCTGGACTCCTATGTGGCCTACTGCAGTTCACATCCCGGACCTGGCGACTTGAATCTCACACTTAGCATGTGTGCCCAAGATCCTGGGAGGACAATGGAGGAGAAGGGATTGGAGTGTGGCCATCTCCACTGGGGGGCTTATTTCTTGCTTTCTGTATCTCTGTCTTCCCAGCAAGTGTACAGGCCCTATAGCAAAAATCTCTCTAAAAAAAAAAATTAAAAATTAATATTCCATCAAATAAAAATTGATTTGGTTAGTGGCATGTGGAGGGGTGGGAGTGACAAGCACCTTAAGGCCATTCACACTTGTCTTAATTATATCAACTACGTTTCCGAAAGTATTATTAAAGTATGTAGACATGAAAAATTTCTTCAAGAGGAAACACCTACCAGCAATACTGTGATAATAAACTTAGGTTACAATTTGGGTTCTGCCACCTAATATGTGTTTTCATGGGCAAATTATTTAACTCTGTGAATGTCAGTCTCTCTGATCAACCTCATAGCATGGTTATAGGAATTACAAGTGAAAACTACAAGTCATTCAATGAACTTCATGCTCTAACCTAAGATGGATTATCATCAACAAGCATGAAAAAAGTGAGTGGGGGAAAGGCGCACTAGATGAAAATTAGAGGGGGATAGAGGTGTGAGGACAGAGGACCAGAGATAGCCAGAAAGTTCAGTGAAACCTCGAAATGATTTAAGGAGCCAAAAGGAGCAGGCCTAAGAAAGAAGATGAGAAAAGGAAGAAAGCAGAGTAGACTAACTATTCAACATGTGGCAATATGTAATTTAAATACTGATAAAAATGTATAAACCCATATATATTTAATGTGAAACTTAAATGTGTGTAATTGTGTTTAATTACAAATCTTAGTCATTGCTAAATACATTTTCTGTTTATTATGAAGATATGGTTAATTAAAACATTATTCTAACCTAGTTGAAAGACAAATTTTTAGATTCTATTTTAGACTAGTCAATCTTCTAGAGCCTCTTTGATAAAAAAGTTTTTCCATATTTATTGTTAGTCTAATACACATTTGAGAATTAACATTATGTCAAAAGCATATGAAAACTGATTAACAGCAAAAATAACAATTAAAAAAAAACAGGTTAGCATCCTAACAAATTAATTTTATTGTTGCTATCCTATCTACTTAGGATAATGAAAACCTAATCTTATTACAGTTTGATAAGTGAAGTAATTCTTACCTTCCTAATCAGTTCTTCTTCTTTTTTTTTTTTTTTTAGAATTATTTTATTTTACTTTATTTATTTTAATTTGACCAAGGAGGGACAGAGTGAGAGAGAGAGAGAGAGAAAGCAAGCCTCCATGCCCAGTACTCAAACCATGGTTGGCCATGTGGGAGTTCAGTGCCCTCAACCACCACACCACCTGCTGGCGAGCCTAATCAGTTCTTTTTTAAAAAAAGTTTTTTTTATTTCTTCTATGAGAGAGAGAGACACATAGACAGAGATGGAGAGAAAGACAGAGGAAAAGAATCCTTGAAGGGTCTTGGCACTGAATTCCACCCATTGACTTTAGTCAGCCCCAGATCATGGGCAAGTACATGCCTAACATACTCAGGAAGGTCTCTGGACTTGAACTAAGAAACTTCCCAAGAGTGTTGTGTTTTATGGCTGTGCCACCATCTGGCCATTCCTTAATCTTTTTTTTTGAGAGGTTTTTGCTATAGGGTGCGTGCGCTCGCCAGACAGACACAGACAGACAGAGAGACAGAAAGCGAGAAATCACCCCCCCGGGGGGATGGCCACACCGCAATCCCTTCTCCTCCATTCTCCTCTCGGGATCTTGGGCACACACGCACATGCGCCCAGCATGAGTTTTAAGTCACCGGGTCCGGGATGCAAACCGTGGTTGACTACATGGGAGTCCAGCGACATAGCCATTACGCTAACTGCTGGTCCCCCCCCTTCCTTAACCCTAACAATGATATACAGAATATGTTAAATTCAAAAGTAATATCTGAACTTTAGCCCCCTGCTTCAATATATGAAAATAAATTCAAAGCTAGATTGATCTCATATATTTTTACATTTTAAAAACTTATTAACAGTGATTTGTGGCTGCTATTAGAAATTATCCATTATCAGTATTACACTGGAATCTAGATACAATAGTCCACTGAGCCTAGAATTCCATAAAATACAGTTCCACCCTAAAAATAAATTCAGGACAGTTTTATTTGTTTAAAGGCTGAATTCATCCTTGTGGTTCTATAGGCTGAATCTGCCATGTGGCATCTACTATTCTATCTTAAAGTTGTAAAATTTATAGGAAGAATTATAACTTAGAATTATATCATTTATTTTTATTTTTGACAAATTCTCGCTATAGCTTCTTTAATTATCTACTGTAAGTAATTTATCTGCAAACTCTATATCCCTTCTATAGCAGTGAAAACACTGTTTTTATCAACTCTATTCCTAAAGACCTAAAAAAATTTAATTCAAACCAAAGTAAACATAAACTATTTAGTATGAAACTCAAAGCTTTCCAAAACCTGTACTCTCTCCTAATATATTATCTTTATCACCATAATCTAGCTCATATGTCACCTTTATTAGTCTAAAGACGTATCTTGCCTTTTCCACCTCTTGCTAATCCTTTAACTTTAAATAAAGCTCCTATATTTCAAAACAGAGTCTATATTCTTTAGTGTTCCAGTCAGATTAATCTGTTCTCTTAACATATTAAGTCCTTGCTATGTGCCTAGGAAAGTTCTAGATACTGGAGGCACAACACTGGTCAACACATGGTCACTGCCCTCTAGGGTGTGAAGCCTTTCTTAATTATCTCTGTTGAAAGTAAATTTCTTTTCTCAGCTTTTAAAATTCTAAGTGCATACACTTATTCTGTAATAGGTAACAATGTTTAAAACTCTGAACACTTACATTTATTCTGTAATAGATAACATACATGCGTACACATGTGTGTGTGTGTGTAGCACCTATTGCTAAAATTAGAAATCTAGCTTTGAGGAGCAGAAACCATGCCCATTTTTCTTTCTAAAAAACACTTTTTATATGACAGGTACTCAAACTTATTTTGTTGAGTAGAATGTTAGAGGGAAAAATTAAGAGTGCACATTCAGTATCATGATAAAATTATCTTATTCTTCAGAAAAAGTACTTATGATGCACTTAAGGATTAGAGTGTGTCTGCTAGTTGGAAGTTAGCTATTAGAACTATGAAGAGAAAGCTAAACTTTGGTAAAGAGAGAGAATGAAAAGGCTTATCAAGTAGCAACAATAAAGGGCTAAAATAGAGAAGAGAAAATTTGAAATATAAATATAAAATTTGACATTTTTTTTTCTTTGATCTCCGAAAGTGTGAGGAGAGCAATCACAGTTTTTACAGGTAATAAATTTTTGCAGAAATAGCTTATTATTTAAATACAAGCAAATAACACAGACATTTTGGGGAACTCTAAATAAGCAAAGTGACTAACCTCATTAATTCTTCCACCTTATCATCTACATCTAGGTCTTCTTCTGAGGCTTCAAAACTGTATGACCTCTGACCCATGCTGTTTGCATGGTAGCGAGTTGGTGACAACTTTCCATTGGATGTGGACAATCGCTCATTATTCTCCCTCCCATTTTGATTGGTAGTGCAAGGCTGTGGGGAGGTATCATAACTGTTGCTAGGTGACGGGGACATTCCCGAATGTTGGGTCTGTGTGGAAGCTGTTGCTGTAGAGGAAGATGCTGGAACATTGTTGGTACTGTTCCCATATGAACTTCCTCCATAGCTGGACCTTCTTCCAAACTTGTCACTATGCTCTTGATCAAGACGGTCCAGAGTTTCCAAGGCATGGAGGATTTCATGTTTAGTCATTCCAGTACGTCGAAGGCGCTGAAGCAGATCTATCTGCTCTATGGTAAATCTAGGTTCATCTGTATAGTGAGACATGGTTTCCAGCAAACTAAAATAAATAAATAAATAAATTTAAAAATCTCTTTATTTACAGTATCTACCAAAGAATATATCATTACAGAGAACGTTTACCAGAAGATATAATATTTCTGTAACTTCATTAGTGAAAGCAATAAGACATGTCTCATGCTAGAATGTTTTTTGCCATGACAAACGAACTGGTACAGATATTGAGTTTATTAACACACACTGGAAGTAACATAAAACCCTATTTCATATAGCATGCTATTTACATTTTCCTCAATTTTGGTCAATACTGGAACTAAAATTTTAGTTATTTTGAAAATACCAAGTCAACAGATTAAGTACACACAGTACATTGAGTCCAAGATGTGTGATTGCTCACAAGTGTTTTTTTCCATCTTGAATGTATTATTCTACATCAGAGTACTAACTGATTAATTACTAAAAAGGTGTACTATTTGCTTTATCACATGTCAGCAAAACTGAACTAGAAACTCTAACTTCATTTAGTATAAAACAAATGATTTCTTAAGCTAATTCCTAGCAAATATTAATAACCAGAAAGAAATATTTAAGTGGGAAAAAAGAGAGATACATAAAAAATAAACTTACTAAACACTATTTCATCAAATAATCAGCAATTTCTTGAGCTTTTCATCTCTGTAAAGCACCCTCTCTTAACAGTTACCCAGAGAAATGGATCTTCTGTGGTTGTAGACAAACTGAGTTATTCACTTTTCTTAGGAAATAACTTCTACAATGTTTCCTTTAACTAGCATGAAATAATATAGCACACTAAAAATGTTTTATAGCACACCAAAAAAATGTTTTCTTAGGATGAATAAATATAGTAGAAACCCATAGTAGAGTAATTCAGCACGGCGCATAGAGAGCTGGATCCCAATGGCCAACCAACCATGGTTCAAATCGTGGTCCTAGAAGCTTGAAACATGCCAGGAATGTATGTGTGTGTACCTAATATCCTAATGGAATGGAGAAATGAAGGAGAAAGAATTGGAGAGTGACCATGCCCTATGGAAGGGTGCTTTCTCTCTTTCTCTGAACCTCTCTGTCTCTCTCTGGCAAGTGCATGTGCTCTTGGACAAAAAAAAAAAAAAAAAGTTTATGATCCAGCTGTGGTGATATGTGCTAAGATACTGTGTTCTAAAGAAGGCTGGGACCATACTGAGGCTTTTGTTTGACTCCCAATCCCCTGTGGGCACACAGCCTGTAATCCCAGTAACTCAAAAGGTCGATGCAGGAGGACCGTGAGCTTGGGGCTAGCCCGAGCAATATAACAAGACCCTGTCTAAAAAGAGCAGGGCATGGGAGCATATGTCTGTAGCCTGGGCTGGAAAGCTCAGGCAGGAGGATATTATACCAAGATCCTGTCTTTAAAAACATACATATATAACACATATAGATAGAGAGAATTGTCAAACATCATAAACATTATCATTACTTGAGTTCCTCTTTCATAAACCTGACTTTTCTGAGCTGGCATCGTAAGTCTAGTGGTTAAGGGAGCTAGAGCCCACAGGGTCGACCATGGTTTGAATCCCAGTCGTGGTGACTTAAAAAACACATTGGGTACGTGCGTGTGTCCAAAATCCTGACAGGATGCAGAAATGGAAGAAAATGGATTGGGGTGTGACCACACTTTATTGCATGATACTTTCCATCCTCTCCCCCAATTCTCTCTCTTTGGTGGGTATACATGCTCTCTGGCAATTATTAAAACAGAAACAAGAAACAAATAAACAAAAAAATACCCTGAGTTTCCTACTACAGTTCTGCAGCATGCTAATTTCTTCTATTTTTATTGTTCTAGTGCCGAACATGATGGCTGGCATATAGTAGGTGTCAATAAGTATCTACTGGCAGATATAGATGTCAAAGAATTTTCTCACCTTCTACAGGTAAATAAATATCTGCTCTGGTCCAGTCCCCATGTGCTGTTGGAGAGCTCACTGTTTCTTCATCCCTTTATACTAAAATTTTATTAAACATTCACTTCTAGGCAGGAATTAAATAAAAGTTTCATACAATATAATCTCATCTAATCCTCACAGCAACTCTCTGTAGTAGATATTATTTACTTTATTTTATCTCATTTTATATTGACAGCTTGATCATTGCAGGAACTAAGGCTCAAAGTAATTTCATACTTTACAAAAAGTTTGAATAAATAGTAGGAAACAAACAGATAAGCCTACATCTTATTGACTCCTAACAGTATACATTATTCTGTTTTCCTTTCAAATATACTGCAGGACTTAAATGCAATCATATGATTTCAGAAACAGGTTACTGTACTTCTTTAAATCTCCAATTTAAACCATTTAGAAGGGCTTGTGGGTGGCATGGTGGTTAAGGTGTTGAACTCCCATATGGTTGACGGTGGTTCAAATCCCAGAGCAGGCGGCTTGCTCTCTCACTTTTCCTCTCTCTCTCTCTCTGGTGAGTGCATATGCCCTACAGCAAATTAAAAAGGTAATAATAATTATAAATAATTCTTGAAAATAATAATAAAAAGTAAACAATTATTTTAAAAAATTTTAGATAAAACCATTCTAATTACTGATGGAGTAGGGATCTTAGTGATAGGTTTTTACTTTTCTCTCTTTTTTTTTTGGAGATTTTTGCTATAGGCCATGTGCACTTGCCAAAGAGACAAAGAGAGACAGCAAGACAGAAAGCAAGAAATCACCTCCCCACCCAGGTAGATGGCGATGCTGTAATCCCCTCTCCTCCATTCTCTGCTTGGGATTTTGTGCACACAGGCACATGGGCCAGGTGTGAGTTTTAAGCCTCCAGATCTGGGGATGAACTGCGTTCGACCTCGTGGGAATCCAGCAACACAACCATAATGCCATCTGCTGGTCCCTGTTTTTTACATTTAAATTCTTTGTTCAATTTAGTACTTACATTTACTAGTTAATGAGTTTGACAATAATTTGGCTTTATATCATCCCAAATGGGAGTATCTCATTGTCCAATATGCTTTATTGAATAATATCTCTCTTCTCTGAAGTGTCATCTGTATCACATACAAAACTTCCATGTAAATCTATATTTACCTTTAGATGACCTATTCTAGTATACTGATTGCTTTGTCTTTCAAAATCTTTTTAAGTAAGCAGGCAAAAATCTAGAATCTTATGTGAAATCTTTCTAGTTTTAAAAACAGGCTCAGAGGCTGCCAGGTGACATGGTGATTGGGAGTGCTGGACTCCCATATGGCCGACTGTGGTTTGAGTCCCAGACCTGGCAGCTTGCTTTGTCACTTTCTCTCTCTCTCTCTTGCTTTGTCCCTTCCTGGTCAAATTAAAATGAGTAAATAAATAAAGTTAAATAAAATAATTCTTTT